CCGAAAATTTGAATATTATCCTCTATCTACCTTTAACTTTTTTTGAAATATTTTATTACAACAAAAATATGGAGCGTTTAAATTTTACGGCCTAGCAACCTTCCAAAATTTTGATTTTATGTCAAAAACAATTAAATTTTAAGCTTAGGATATTATTTATGAAATATGACTAGAATTATCGAAGAAACCCAAAAATTAAAAAATATACAGAGTATTCCATTGGACATAACAAGGGTAAGTTTAGAGAGAGACAGCAAAAGTACCATATTAAAAATAATTTTAGAAGATGTGCAAATTAATAGTACATTATAAATCTAGGGACTAAAATGGTACTTTTAATTCCGAGACAAAAATTTGTTGAGGAATTAAAAAACACTTTAGTCCTGAGGTGTATACATTATTTTATGCACTTTACTTTATTTCCCAGGGATTAAATAAAACAGGGAATAAAAGGGTACTTTTATTCCCTGTTTCATTTAATCCCCGGGAAATAAAGTGAAATTTAATCCCGGGGATTAAAAGACTCACTTTACTCCCTTAAAACAGGAATTAAAAGGGTACTTTTAATCCCTGAAGTTCAAAAAATCCATTATCGTTTTCTTAAAACTTCCTTCTAAAAGTCCTATGCTTTCTTCTAAAATATAAGGTATAGGCCCCTCTAAGGAGTTCATTCATTATTCAACCATTGATTGGTTTAATGGTTACCATGATAACGCAGCTCTTAATTATGGACAATGTCCTCAAGTAACATAAATTATCTATCTAGAGAGGATATTGTTCAAATTTTTGGAGAAATCAAAAAATGCAATATCATACAGGGTGTTTCATTCAAAATAACAAGAAGATGATGATTTAGACAGAAGCAGCAACATCAAAAATATGTTTGGAAGATGTGCAAATTACAAACAATTGTTGTTTGAAACTTGTTTTCATAAACCTTATTTTGTTTAGAATAAAGGCATTTTCCCTTTTCACACAGGTCCCCTGCACATTTTATGATAATGGGAGCATCCAAAATGCACAAAAAAATTATGTGGATATTGGTCAATTGAACAACTGAGAATGGCTGAGACAATTGAATATACGTGGACCCTTTAAAACGGAGTTTCAAGTAATTCATGAATGGATACTTACCGATTATGGGTACGCTGCTTCTCACCAAGAAATCAAATCAATTAGAATGTACTCATTACAGGACAGAAATAAACGTGGGGTGTTATAATCACCTACCAAAATCTTCTTTCACAAAATACAGTAAGTTCTACCAACACAAAAACCCTGAAAATAAGGATTTTAGAAAAAAATCGAAATATCATTACCGAAGCGGAATATCAAAAATTTGTGAAATTAGTTCTTTCTTTATAAATAAGAGACTAAAAAAATGCCAATAAAAAATATTTTGTTTTTGTTTTGTGGAAACCCGGTACTTAGAAATTTTGGTGAAAAACACTTTATTTTCGTTTTCACCCTGTAGTTAGTAAGGAGCTTCAAATCAGAAAAATTGGACCAAAGCAGCTTGTTCAGATTGAAATTATCTTTTAAATCCCGCAAACCACTCATTGATATCTTTTTTAGTTCGCCTGATATTTGAATCCAAAGTTAACCTAAAAATTTGCTTGTTCCGTTTCATTTGTCCAACAGTTTATTACATAGGAAAAAAAAATACATAAAATCACAAAGCAAATTATGTGATTTAAGTTCTGTTTTTCCGGATAATATTAGGTTTGTTTCTGCAGAAATCCCAAACTAGTCAGAGCGAATTTCATTGGTTGAAAACAGTCAGAAAACTAGTTTCAACCAATGAAATTCACTCTGACCTGTTTGTGATTTCTGCAGAAACAGACTTATTATCAATGCTTTTATAAACTCTAATTATTTTGAAGAAGTTTGCGCCTATTTGCTGCGACCGTTTTCCGTGTATAAAACCACAGTTTAGTTCATAATCTACCTTAAGGTGGGTGGTATTATTGACATTTGAAATTTGTCAGTTCTGTGCTATTAGTTGATTGCTTAAAATTTGTCTGCAAAAAGAGAAAAAACCTCACATCAGAATTGGCTCAAAATTGGCATAAACATTCTTTGATCGATTATCTACAATCCGAATATTTCGGTTTTTCGATGTTTTGCGAGATTTTAGAAATAATCCATAACGACTACAGCCTAGTACTCATAACTGCGAAATTCGCTCTTTTTTGACATTGCTTCGACAATTTGACGTTTTATTCGTGAATCAAACGTCAATTTGTCCAAGCAATGTCAAAAAAGAGCGAATTTCGCTGTTATGAGTACTAGGCTTAAGTATAGGCAAGGCATCCAGGGCTGGGACTTTGTAATGGATAGAGATTGTTATCCCTATATCGCTATGACACTTGCTATCTTCTTCTCTCTCTTGGTAATCAATAGAGAGGGGACCTCAATAAAGATAGAGAAAAATTCTCTATTCGTTACAGAGTCCTAGCCCAGATATACATTTTCCATTTCGAGAAAAACGCAAATTATCGAAAAATTAAAATATTTGGATTGTAGATAATCCATCAAAGACTGTTTATGCCAATTTTGAACCAATTCTGATGTGAGTTGTTCTTTCTCTTTGCAGAGGAATTTAAAAAAATCCACATAGAACTGAAGATTTCAATGTCATTAATGCCCCTTCAAGAGCGTCCTATGTATTTTTATTATTTCTCTATCTTTTGTTAAGCTTTTATATTTTCATATCAGTTATTATGTACTTTTGAAAATAAAGTTTTTGCACCTGGTCGTGATTCTAAGTAATGTAGAAAATAAAAATAAATTTGCCCCCTCTAAATGTCTGGTTGCCCCCTCTGGAATCAAAACCTGGCTACAGGCCTGATGAGGCCACTTTGTTAGAATCCCTGTTCTGCAATTATTCTGACATTAGAGGTCGACTGGAGGCTAGACTCTCACATGCTTCACTGGAATCTAGCATTCAGATGGACCGCGGATGTGAGCATCCAATAGAAATGCCAGAAACATATCGAACCACTACTGGCGTTCAGCGACCATTGGTCGGGTTCATCAGGACGTAGCGCTACAATAGCGATCAGCAGCAGTGTTGCCAAATTTTTACAATTGTGGCAAATTTTATCCCTGTTCTTCTCACCAAAAGGGAAAAAAGATGGAAAATGGTCCGAGCGCTCAGTGTTTCAAGCGGAACTCATTAATTTTAATAATTTTTGGTTAAATAAGTGAAAATATAATAGATTTATTGGAAATATAATAATGTAAATAATTAACCTTTGATAAATGTAATAGATTTGCTATATTTGTAATAAACTGGCAACACTGTTGATGATCGCTACTGTAGCGCTATGTCCTGATGAACTCGACCATTGTTTCGAAGAGTGGCTAGCCGCACGCATAGTTGAATACTGCCATTCTAGCTTTTTTTTTATCTCTGTTTTATGCATTAAGAGTTCCATGTTACTTTTCTAGTCGCAATTAAGTTGTAGGCCTTCCTTGTATTTTTTATTTTTAATTTTTCGTCAAAATTAACTCTGAAAATATATACTTACATGAAGAAAAGGAACATTTTCTCGAGTATTCATGGTTTTTATTGAATTTGAGATAAATTATTGAGGGCATGGGCATCCCGAATCAAATTTTGCCTGTTGCGCAGTGGTTACCTTACCGTAATTTATTATTTTTTAACCTTCTCACTTGAAATAGTCACGAGCCGCCACTGCCTCTAGGAACTCTCCTGGGAGGCTGAATATGTGGAACAGCATCTTTTTTCAAACAAATATGATGCTCAGTTGGAAATTGGCCTAAACCATCAAAAACACTAGCATACATTTTCTTAACATCTTGACTTGAAATTATTGACATTGAGTCCTGGATTAATACTAGCTAATCTTTTATTTAGTTTTAGCTTTAAATAAGCAGATAACCCAAGCAAAGGTAGTTGGTCAGTGGAGTCAATAACTAAAAACTTAAGAGTTTCTTTACAGTTGTGTACAGTTGAGGTTTTATCCTGAAACCACTACAACCATATGACACGAGGGTTACTTTGGTTGGTTTCAAAAGAGAATTAACTTCTAACTCTTTGAGAACATATAGAGGCAAAACACTTACCTCAGCCCCAATGCCAAGCTCAAATTCTACCTGATTTTTGTTCTCGATTTGCACAACTTGTCTCCAGTCATTCTCCATCTCAGTTTGATTGTCTCTGCTGTCGCACTCACTGATCACCTTATCAATTTTTCGAGACTTCATAGAACTGACTGGAAACAGTGATTCCATGTAGAAAGACTCATTTTCACTAGAGCTGTCACTACTTCCTCATTCTGTTGTGTGCTCTTTCTCCAGTTCCTCCATGACTGTCTCTCGCTAGATTTGTTGTGTGGCTTCACCAGGACACATTGCTGCAAAATAGTTTTTGCCTTGGCAAGCTGCACATGTTTTCCCATATGCCGGGCATTTACCATTTACTATGTGTTTATATTTATAGCCGCAAAATTTGCACAAACTTTGGTCATGACTTGAGCTACCACTTGAACTATTAGCGGTACTACTTTTCTTACTGTTTTGGAAGCTATACTTCCTAGTTTTGATTGCATTAATCTGTGATTCATTCTGCAAAATCTTGTTCTGTGTTTTGCTAACCTTAGTGGGTCTGCAAAAATCAATTGCTTTGGTTAAAGTTAGCTTGGACTCTCCCAGGAGCCTTTCTTGGGTATTTTTATCAAAAATACCCATGACCACAGGGTCTCTAATCATTTCATCTAGCTGAGAGTTTCCTGTAGTTTTCATTGCTTTTCTCAATTCTGTTAAGAAACTATCAAAAGTTTGACCATCTTTTTGGCCAATATCGTCGTTGAACCGTTCGTAAAAATCTCTGTAGTCTGGCCAACAATGGAATTTTCTTACCTTGTCTAACACATACATTTGAAGAAAGATAAAAAGTAAAAAAATTGATAGACGAATATATTTCCTATGACATTCAAATTTCAAATTATCGTAACGATTTCTTTATTTCCTAGGATGGGTAGTTTCAATTCGGCTCCGAAAATCCTAAACGACGACTCGCAAGACAATGACGTTAATTTGCCGAAAAACATCAGCCGAAATGAACTTTTGCAGTACTGCCACAAGAGGCCCTATGGTCAATTGATGGTCAAAAGGGCCTTCAGAAAGTCCCGAAGATGCAGCAACAACGACTTGGGCATTAAGTTGAAAAAATTAAATGCGGTTACAGAAAGTATTTGAATGAATTTTTGGTTGATTTATTAATTATTGAATTGTTTTTAGCTTGCAGTGATTACACTACAAGTCCTCACAGTATAAGAGTTTTTCAATGGAATATTTTGTCACAAGGTAAGTACCTACTTGCTCAGTAGATAAAAATTTCATAATCTATTTTTGTAGCTCTTGGTAAAGAAAACGATAACTTCTGCCAATGCCCCGAAGAAGCTCTAGACTGGAACCACAGAAAGTACCTAATAGTCGAAGAAATAATAGAATACTGCCCCGACATAATCTGCCTACAAGAAGTAGACCACTTCAACTACCTAAAACACGTTTTAGGCACCCAAGGCTACACAGGCATGTTTTTTCCAAAACCCGACTCTCCTTGCTTCTACATCGATGGCAACAATGGCCCAGATGGTTGCGCCATCTTCTATAGAACCGACAAATTCGAATTACTACAAGCCGAAACCCGAATCCTGGAAATTTGGCGCATCCAAAGCAATCAAGTGGCCCTTTTGATGAACCTCAAAGTCAAACAAACTGGCCAAGAACTCTGCGTAATGACGACACATCTCAAAGCCCGTCACAGTGCTTTGATGGCCACTCTAAGAAACGAGCAGGGTAAAGATTTGCTTCAATTTCTGAAGCGTCATTGCGCTGACAGGCCTGTGATTCTGAGCGGCGATTTCAACGCTGAACCCATTGAACCTGTATATAGTACCGTTTGCCAAGCAGATTTGACTAGTGCTTATAAAGAATGCGTCGCATCAGAACCGCCTTATACCACTTGGAAAATACGGCAAGAAGGCGAAGTTTGTCACACTATCGACTATATTTTTTATTCGAAAAATCTATTGGAAGTTGAAAGTGTTTTGGAGTTTCCAACTGAAAAGGATATCGGTGAAGGGAGGGTACCAAATTTGAGTTACCCTAGTGATCATTTTTCGATGGCTTGTGACTTTAGATTACGGACTAATAATGGTGATACTGCTTAATTTTAGTTTATTTAAGTGAATAAATGATTATCTACAGGTGTTTATTTGTAGAACTAAATTAATTGAATAGAATTCTATACTTACGATTTTTGGTTTTAAGTTGGCAGCGTCTTCTGGTCTATAGTTTTTGATGTGTAAACATCTTTGTATGAGGCTAAATCTTGGGGAAATAGGAACGGAAGTGGGAAAGCGGATGTGAAATGCGCAGTGAAAAATAATTTTGGGGTTGAGATCCAGTTTTCTTTGTCGAGGGGATTAAGTTGAACTCCGATAGCCGTAAGATAAAGTACCGTCCGGGAACAATTCACAAATCACGAAATTATTATTTGGCTTTGCATTAGGGATAACAAACTATCGATAGGAATATCGATACTATCGATAGTTTTTTAATTTTCGATAGTATCGATAGACCTGTACCAATATCGATAGTTCCAATGTAGCCAAAGGTAAATGAAAACATCTGTATATTGAGGGAATTATAAAGAAATCTGTATTTTTTTTGAGAAATCTGCAATTATTTTTGGGGATAGACATGCTGTGCTACCAATTTTTCGGTTAGGAGGAATGACGAGTGACTTTGATGGACTTGATGGAGGTTGGAGGTTAATGTTTATCGTAATTAATTACAAATTTGGTTACTTTGGTCAGAGCAAACTATCGATAGTACAATCGATAGTTACTATCGATGGGTAGGCCATTCTATCGATATTACTATCGATAGTTTTTTTTTCGATAGTTTGTCAACCCTACTTTGCATCACATAACTATTATTCTTGGGTTATGGTTTCGTTCTTGGGGAATCACCGAGTGCAAACCATGCACCTGGGGTGTTCCCTTGTTTAGGTGACTTCAGAATTTTGCGTACTATGTGCGCTGTACTCAACACTACAGCTTTCTGGTTATGTGTTCCAGGGATTTCTTTTATCGCTTCAGAAGTAACGGTGGATATCAGCCCTGTTGAATTTTCGTCCAGTATCTGCCTCTCCAAGGATTCCGCCTCCCCCAAAAACATCTTGCTTTCACGTCCAATCCAGTTCAGTATCAATTAAGCTCTTTATTGATGGTCTGAGTTAACGAATCAACAATTTCATGATTCGAATTTGGATTATCATTGGCCAACTCTGAACATACTGCGGAGCATAGAGCACAGTATCAGATTATCCCTACTATACCTATCCTTTTTAAGTTTTGATTGACAATTCTTGTGAAGGACTCCATGGCCTTGCATACCAATGTTGCATACAAATACAAATCCAATTAGGCAATCCAAACCACGTGACTTTTTTTGACGGATTGTTGGCACACAAAAGATTTTCTTGGTTTAATATTATCCTTGCGTTCGGTATTTTGCTCTAAGAGCAGAGCGTGCTGAGCAGAGCCGTAATCACGTGACCAGCGAGCGAACAGAACAGTTGAACGCAGTATCCGAGAACCCGAAATTTTATTAAACGAACGCAAATGAGCTTGCTCCGAGTACACTTACGCATTCCAGTTTTTGGTTATAGTTCATTGGTGCCAACCAATGAACTATAACCAAAAACTGGAATGCGAACACATAAGGACGAACGTGAAGCCTAGTGCGGCTGCTGCGGAGGGGATACCTGTTTTTGTCGCACTCATTATGTTAAATGGCGAAAATTGCTTCCAACACGTATTCCAATTGATGAAACCTGTGAAGGGAAATATGACAAAACTTTCGAAAACGTCATATGTCAGCAAGCAACAGAAAAAAACAACATTCCTCTTTGTGGCATCTGTCTTTCATGGCTTCATTTTTTTGGCAGATATGGCACTGTGTGCGCATTCCAGTTTTTAGCTCTAGTTCATTGGTGCCAACAGTCGGCCATATTTGACACATCGTTGGATTGCCTAATTACTTTGGGATCTATATCAGTGTTGCCAGACGTACGATAATTATCGTATTTATACGATAATTACAAGAAGGTACGATGTACGATCGATAATGGATAAATGTACGATAATTTCTGAATGTTGATAAATTTTGAAAAAGATACACTGAAATCGCTGGAGGTCCATTAAAAATTGAAATACCAGCTCTTTTTTCCAGTGCCTGAATTATTGCAAGGGGTAGGGGATAACAGAAATGAGTAGTTTTTTTTCTTATTTTTTTTTCTAAATGTTTTTTTAATAAAATTATTTTGCAAATACAACTTAACCCCTTCAATTTAAGGGGGCCACCAGCCTCCGATGACGTCATACTGGTAAAGTCAGTTTTGTACGATAAAATCATGCAAAAAACGATAATTTCTACAGCATTGTACCATAATTTGGTTCTGGTCATCTGGCAACACTGACCTATATGTCTGCAGCACTTAAATTTTAAAGCCATTTTCAGAAGAAAATTATCTTCGGCACACCGCTCAAGTTCAATTGGGATGAATAAGCTTTTCTCTCGAAATTATTGTACTGTTTGCATTTATTACATATTTTCTTATATGCAGCACACCTTCTAAACTCATGTAAAGTTTGTTTCGCCAGGGTTTGTACTTGCCACCAGCATTTACTTTCCCTGTTTAACAAATAAAAATTGACTGAAACAAATCAATGATGTCAAAAACGTTCGTCGGTTCTTAATCCAGAATTCATTCATTTTAATTTGTCAAAAAAATTGAATGTGTCATATAAATTAATCTACGACAACCCTTTTTCAAGGTCAAGTATGAACCCTGGTGAAACGAATCTTACCTACCACATTTTCCACAAGCTCTTATTAGGCAATCACATGACCTGTCAAACGAAATTCAGTATGGAAGTTCAGGTCAGATACCGTGTTGTTTACATTTAGACATATGTGTATTACACAATGTTGTAACTCTAATTCCGGGTCTCGCAGCAATCTATCTCGACTCTCTGGGTCCCTAATACTCATAAGCGCAACTAGGCTCCAAATTTGAGGGGTGCTACAGCACCAGTTTTTTTTTTATGATGGGGTTTGATGGAAAGGAAATGAGAAGCGTAAAAAAAGTTAGTTTCACAAGGGTTTGTAGTTACGTCATCATTTGCCTTTTTTTTTGAAAAATAGGTTTTTTTATGTCTGAAATTTCAAACAAACATATAGTTCGTTGCATGGCATGAAGGATTTTACTTACATCATCGATGACGTCATAACTTAGAGAAAAAGTTAAGTCATAGATTAATTCATGGAGCACTTTCGGAATTATTGTTTTGTAATACATTTTTTAACTTAGAATAGAATTTATTCAATTATCCGAAAATATATAAATAAATTTATCCTGGAGTGATTTCTCACTGGAAAATTTTGAAATTTTCCTCTAATACGCTCTTCACTTTCCTCTTTCTCCTGTAAAAATTTCAAAATTTTCATGTTACCAGTTTTCCAGAAAAAGATTAAAATGTAAGAGTGTGAATTTTTCCTTAATTTTGCCTAAATAAGTCAATTTTCTTTGAATTTTTCCTGGAGTGATTTTTCACTGGAAAATTTCAAAATTTCCCTATAATGAGCTCCTCACTTTTCTCTTTATCCTGGAAAATTTTCAAAATTTTCCCTTTAGCAGTTTTCCAAAAAAAAATTTAAATGTGAAAGGATGAATTTTGCTTAGAAAAGTCAATTTTCCAGAACTTTCCTATCGACTTTCCTTAGAGTGATTTTTCACTAGAAAATTTTGAAAATTTCCTATAATGAACTCCTCATTTTCTTCTTTCTTCTGGAAAAATTTCACAAGTTTTGCTTTATTAGTTTTCCAGAAATAAATTAAAATGTGAGAGGATGAGTTTTTCTTAATTTTACTTGAAAAAATAATTTTTTCAGAATTTTTCCTAGAGCGATTTTCCATTGGAAAATTTTGGAATTTTCTTATAATGAGCTCCTGACTTTCCTCTTTTTCCTCTTTTGCCAATTTTCCAGGAAACAATTGAAATGTGAAAGGATGAATTTTCCTTAATTTTACTTGAAAAAGTCAATTTTCCAGAATTTTCCCTAGAGTTATTTCTCACTGAAAAATTTCGAAATTTTCCTATAATGAGCTCCTCACTTTGCTCTTTTTCTTGGGAAATTTTCAAAATTTTCCCTCTGCCAGTTTTGCAGAAAAAAATTAAAATGTAACAGGGTGAATTTTCCTTAATTTTGCTTAAATAAGTCAATTTTTTAGAATTTTTTATGGAGTGATTTTTCATTTGAAAATTTTAAAATTTTTGCAATAATTTCTGTAATTTTCATAGTTTTTCGTAATGTCCATAATTCTCGTATTTTTTCGTTATTCACGTAATTTTTCATAATTTTAATTTTTCGTAAATTCTGTAATTTTCTGTAATATTGAGAAAATTTCCGTAATTTACAAATAATTCCTGTAATTTTGAATAATTTTGAGTAATTCCTGCATTTTTGGAATAATTCCTGTAATTCCCCTATTTTTTTGTAATTCCCGTTATTTTTCGTAATTTCTGTAATATGTATTCGAATAATTTTCGTAATTTCAGAATATTTTTTGAAATTTTGAATTATGTATATAATTCCTATAGTTTTGAATTGATAATTTAAAGAATATAAGAATTGCAAAAATTTCGGAAAATTTTACGAAAATTACAAAAATTGAAATTAGCAGAAATTACAAAAATTTCAAAACTACAAAAAGTTACTAGATTTTTAATAAATTATGAGAATTATAAAAATTCCATTAAAAAATTACGGAAAATACAGGAATACGGAAAATATAGAATTAATAAAAATAAATTGAAAAATTATAGAAATTTCAAAAATTACAGGGATCGCGAAAAAATGAAAAAAATCGGAAAAATAGCAAAAATCACGGGAATTTTGAAAAATCACGGGAAATACATTAATTATTAAAAAACTAAGAGGAAAATTTAAAAAATTACAGAAAAAACGGGTAATCCAAAAGCAATGAAAATAAAAAAATTTGAAACATACTGGAAATTCAAAAATTATGTAAAATTACAAAAATAATTGAAAAATTACATAAAATACGGAAACTACAAAAAAATAACAAAAATTATTAAAATTGTAAATATCATAAAAATTTGAAAAAATTACAGCACCTACAATTATTGAAAAATTAAAATGAGAATTGCAAAATTACGAAAAAAACCGGGAATGGAAATACTTATGTAATGGAA